GCTGGTTTGTGGTGCAAGGACAGAGTGCAGGGCTTTCTTACCGCCACGCCATCCACCTGCATCGCAGAGTTTCAATGCACGGAACTAACAGCACCTACGATGCCAATTTAAAGTGACCTTTGTTTCTGAGAGTGACCATTTTTGTTTTTTTAAGGCCATGGCTAACTAGCTCTCACATTACACCACCCCAAGCCCCCTCTGCTCAGGCAGCGCGGCATTGCACACGAGCGCGTCGCCACAGCGAGGACGAGCCCCGCCTGACACGGGCGCGGACGCAGAGAGCAGAGGCATGGCGCGCAGGCCTGGCTTGTCCTCTCTCCAGAGAGTCCCTGCAGGCCTGTCTGCCCTCCCACGCCGTCCCCGCCGTTCGGAAACCGGGGTGCGTGCTGGACGGTCTACGTCCTTACCCCATCTAGTGAGGAAAACACCTGCCCTGCCCACATTCTCACTTATCCCCCAAGCCAAGCACACAGATAGATGAGCGGCATTGACTCAGCCGGGAAATGACATCATCTCAGACGGAGGCAAGGGGGTGGTTTGCTAATGTCTAGCACAGCTAGGACTTCGAATGCCCAACTGTCCCCACAGATCCCAAAGCAACCATTTCCTGTGTGTGTGCACATGTGTGTACGTGTGTGTGTTTGAGCGAGAGATGTCTATAGTAAATGAATTTGTGAAGTAATCAAAGGGGGAAGCTTTACTACAATTGACTGCAAATAGCAACAGCTTAAAATTCTTCAAATAGTCTTAACGCCATGCAAAAAATGCCCGTGTAGCATGAGCCGTCCGGGTGACAGTGTGCTGTAAGGGAGGGCAGACGGAGCCCACACAGGGCACAGTCCTAATTTGGACACCAGGCTCCCAGATACATCTGGTCTCCATCAATCACCCAGAACACAAATCCCAAAGAGCAGGAGACTAAGCTCTCATGTTAGCCTAAAATGAGTGGGCCCATTAGTCAGTATTCACAAATCCAGCTAATAAACATGCTTAATAAGTTTAATTGTAGACCAGGGAATGTTTGGTCAGAGAACTGCAGAACTAAAAGGGACCTTGACAATGATCTTTGTTCAACTCCTCTGATGTGCTGATGAGGTAACAGAGATGTAGGCAAGGGGATAGGGGTACCCACAATCACAGGCTAGGACTGATAGAGCACAGCCAAATAGTCCCAGTCAGCCTAGTTGTAGGCCAGGGACACCCCTACCTACACATACACTAAGGCCTGACCCCCCAAAGAGAAAAATTCCTAGCGTCCCAATTGGGTTAGGACTGTGTATTGAGTTTTAGTCTCTTCAAATTATCCCTTGGCTCTCACCGATAAACTTCCAGATCTGTTTTGGAAGAAAAATTCAGGACCTAATTACCAGGTGAAGCAAAAGACACTGCCCACTAAAGACCCTGAACAGGCCCCCTTCCCGTGTGGAGGGTCAGCACGTCTATTCCAGGTTTGTGGTGGGGTGCAGAGAGCAGGTTGGAAGGGCAGGGCTGTGCTGATGGGCGTTTAGACTTTGTGGCAGCTTTGCCTCATCCACATGTTTTCTACATACACTTTGGCCTCATCTTTGAAAAGTAACATTCAAGCTACTTCAAAATGACTGGCCACCCCCGACCCCCACAATCTTCGCTCATGGATACAACAAAGAGTCCAACCTCTTACTCCCCCTCAGCTCCTCCTCTGGAGATTACCTTCGAGTTTGTCAACCACTTTGCCTACATGTGATTAGATCAGTCTCCCTAGAGGGAGGGCTCTTCTCTGATTTTGTTCATCAGGGCCTTGGCCTCATCTGTCCTTGGGGAGAGGGTTACATGCACTGGAGATGTTCCCGCTCTCCGTCAAGGGCCATCTCAATCCCTTTATGCTACTGTGACTTAACTCGTGGGGGAGCATCTGTGCACATGCCACCAGCCGTTCCTTTTGGTAGAGTGCGCAGCTCACTTATTCCTGCTGTAGGCGGAGTTCCTGCAAGGTAACGAGTAAAGTGCAAAAGAGTGCTTTCAAGGGGCAATTTGAACAAAAGAGAAAGGCTGCCACACGCAGCGTTCCCAGAACCCAAACCAAAATAACAAAGTGTCTGCAAGGCCAACACCGTAGGCCATGTCTACACAAAGACCTCGTACCCTCTTGGTAGTAGGGATCTTCTCCCCACTTGTGTGCTGCGTCCATGAAACTAGAAAGACACACACACACACACACACATGCACACGCGCGCACGCACACACACACACACAAGGGTGCATAACATGGACCTTGTAGCAAAGTCAAAAGCAGACTTTGGTCAGACGGGTTTTGAAGAGCAGCTCTAGCACTTTCTTGCTGTGTGCCATTGGGTAAGTTACTGAGCCTCCTTGAGACTCTGTGCCCTCATCTGTATAAGAGGTTTGCAAACACTTCCCACAGGGTGTCTTTATGATATTCGGATGGTTCAATGCCTTTAAAGTGCCTAAACTAATGCCCAACCCATGGAAGCCATTGGATAAATGACAGGGAAGCCTCTTTGCCAGATTTGGCTGTTGGGTCTAGAATTTTAACACCCCACTGTGAAGAAGGTACCAAGTCATAGAGGGCGGAAACGCAAATGAATGACGTCCATGGGTGGTTGAATCAGGAAGCTTTTAACGTGACAGCGTAAGAAAGTCCCAGTTATCTAACAATTTCTTAAAACACATTTCTTCAGGCTGCAATGGTCCCATAGTGAGAACCTGCACAAATCTTGTCCTCACCTGCACAAATATTGTTTCTCAAGCATCTGCTTATTACTGTGTGGACATCGGATGTCACAGTGAGCCACCGCTCCAGCCCCATGGAGGCATTAACCCAAACCTACCTTGGACAGGAAAACTAGGTTCTTACTTGCCTCCTTTCCCAAAGCAGCGCTAAATCTTTAAGAGCCTAAAAGTTTGGGGGCAGGAAGGGGTGTGCTGCTTGTGTGACAGGCAAGGGAGAGCTGTGCATTTGGGGGAAATAGTCAGGAAGAGGTCTCCCCATGGTACCAGTGGTCATGGATGTGGTGGGTAAAAATTTCCCTGGAAGTCTCCACTACTCCTGTGATCTTTTGATAAATCCACTTGTGCGTGAGTCACGTGAAATTCCCCAGAAGTGGCACCGAGCAGTGGGGGCCCATAACCATCAGCTTCCTGTTGTTGCCAGATCCAAATGTTTAAGTGTGGGGCCCAAACAGCTGAACTTGAACCAGTACAAGGACCAGCCAATTATGAGAAAGGCTGAGGCTCACATGAGATGGCTGGCCTAGTACATTTTTTCCCCCTTTCTGATTAAAAATCCATTTAAAATCTTCCTCTCAAAATTTACAACTAGCCATCCCCCCACTTTCCTTCACTGATGTTCTAACCTCATGGAGCAATCACATATCCCGTGCTGGTTGGTTCCTGTTTGCCTTGAAACACGCACATGGGCGTTCCCACTGGTGTTGCGATAGCAGGTATTTGGTGAGGAAACGAGCAAGGAAAAGAAATGCTTTCAAAATAAAGGAACTCCCAAATGTAAAAGCAAAATACTTGAGATACTTAACTTTTAAGTATTTTTTTTTTTTTTTTAAATGGCATTAATGGCACTTAAACTGCAAGCAATTAAAACGACTCAATCTTCTTGTACAAGGGCTGGTTGAGGGATTAACTTTCCTTCTGTTTGGAGATAGCAAGATTGGCTCTCGTAACTATGTCTACCCTAAGACACCCAAAGGGACAAAAAGCCCTGAGATGGAATGATGCCATGGTCCTCCTTGGTATGTCTCAGACATGCAGGATGTCTATTTTTATAAAAGTTTAGGATCAGCTAGACAGAACAGCAAGCCACTGGCATCATGCAAGGCAACAGTTTTGGTATTTTTTCCCCCCTCCTATGGACACAAGCTGTAACTGTGGTCCCACTAGAAAAGGGAACATGAACATTTCCAAGCCAGTTTATTTTCACCACTGCGCCCACTGAGGAAAATGCATGATTTCTGCCCGTAACCATGCAGCAGTTGAGGTTGAATTTTCACGGATGCTCGCGAGTCGGTCTGGACTACCTACCCCTGTGAGAAAGACCAGATTCGGTAGGCTTCCGTCCTTGGTTGAGGTGATCTCCACAGTGTGATGTTTGTGACACATGGTTTTTTCTTTTGTAATGAGGAAAAGCAACTGCACCATTTAATACGTGCGCTCTGATCTGCTTCCAACACATCCCAGGAGCTCTCAGGTCCCAGGGACATTCATTTGGAGCCGAGCAGGGCTAGGTGTGCGCTGAGTGGGTAGGCTGGGCATTCAAGCTCCGGGCAACGTGCCAGAATATGCCCACTCGAACCTTAGCTACAGGTCCCAGCTCAGCCCCAGCCCGAGGTCCCCTTCTGTGTGCGCCTGTGCCACTAGGGGTCGGCTCAGGAAGCGAGACCCCGTGTGACAGACGCACCTGTTCCTTTGGGAAGGCTGGTCTGAGGAATAGCTGCCCTTTTCCGTGTGCCATCCAGGGCAGCGCCGCGCCTCGGACCCGCGGCGCCCTGACCGCCATCGGAGGCGCGCAGC